CACCACCAGAGATATCAAGGGGAAACAAATTATTTTGTGCCATAGGAACACTAACAATAATTTGGTCATATTTTTCATCTTTGATCTCACAGCAATTATTATCAAACAAAACTGAATACCCCCCATTCATTAACTGACCAACACATAACAAATTATTTGCCAAACTAGGTGCAAAGTAAACATCATCGAGAAATTTCACTTTACCATTGTTGGACCGTACTACGATATTACGTATTCCTTCCACTTTGATCTCAGTGCTATTTCTAAGATTTACTTGTTTCTTGAAGTTTCATTAAGTTCTTTAAATGCAGATTTTTCTCCCGACATATGGTGTGAACAGCTGCTGTTGATGAACCAAAACTTCCGTTGGCACATTCACCTCCACCTCTTGCTCTAGCTCTTGAGCCATGAACAGCTTCTCTTCTACTTCAACTTCTGCATAACTTGCTTTTTCTTTCTTTTTGAGCTTCCAACAATCTACTTTCACATGGCCATAATTTTTGCAATAGTTAAATTGCACACTGCTTTTGTAATGTCTCTGTTCATCATTTGTCTGGCTATAATCAACTTGCTCATAAGATCTTCCTCTACCTCTGCCTCTGCTGTTGGCTCTACCGTTGCGACCTCCTTTATTGAATTCTTTACCTCTACCAACGGCTTTTAAGTCACCGGTTGATGGGGAAGCTTTGACTTGAAATGCCTTTTCTTCTACTTTCTCAATCGATCTGCTATTCATTCTGGCTTCATGAGATTGCAATGACCCTTTTAGGTCATCAAAAGATAGAGTAGATAAGTCTTTGGATTCTTCTATAGCAACAGCTACATGATCAAATCTAGGACTTAAACTCCTTAGAACTTTCTCAACCACAACTTGATCAGTATATTTTTCACCATATGACCTCAAATGATCAACTACTGTGGCTACTCTCGACAAAAAGACTTGTATTGACTCATTATTCTACATTGTCAAATTCTCAAATTCACAGCATAGTGATTGAAGTTTGACCATGATAGATTTGTTTGTGATATTCTTTCTGCATTATCTCCCATGCCTCTTTGGAAGTGCTTGCTGCTACAATTCGTGAGAATATTAATTCATGAACAGCTTGTTGAATGATGTATAAGGCCTTGTTATCCTTTTTCTTGTTCTCTTTCAGCCTTGCTTCATCAGTGTCAAGATCTGCAAAACCTCTTTCAACTAATTCCCATACATCTTGGGACTTGAAGAGTTATCTTCATTTTGATGCCACAAAACTCATACTTCTCTCCATTGAAGATGGTTATGAGTGGCTGCATGGAAGAGGAAATACCATTCACAGTCATGACCTAATTTCCTATTGTGTTTCACTCCTTTACATGTTTCTCTCTCTCTCTCTCTCTCTATTTTTACTCACACTAGCCCAGTCAAGACCCGAACCAGGCTCTGATACCACTATGTTGGGCAAAACTAGAAACTTGATAACTACAACTCTGTATCAAGTTAAACAATAAGAATAGAAAGATTTAGAGATTAAACAATAATGAAAGAAGATGAAAGAGGCACTCATATTGGATGATAAAATCAAGAGAATTGTTGGTCTATTTATAGCCATACATATAATATAAATAATAGCATAATATGGCACTAACAGTAACGTGCCTTGACTCAACAAACAAAGAGACAAAGTAGCAACTATCTAACAAAGCATGAGCTATCAAAAATATCCTATTCTGAATCAACTTCTAACAATTGGAATAAGAATGTTTTTGGGAATATTTTTCAGAGAAAACGCACGTTGCTGGCCAGTATTAAGGGGATCTAGTGTCGTACTAATTAGGATAGGCATTTGGGTTTACTGGCTCTTAAAGTTAAACTCAAATGAGATCTTAATTTGCTTCTGGATCAGGAGGAAATATTGTGGTTTCAAAAATCTAGAGAGAGATGGATGGAGGATGGGGATAGGAATACCGCATTCTTTCATGCTAGTGCGGTTCTTAAAGGGTCGAAGAAGCATATTTCTCATTTAAAGGATGACAATGGTAATTGGGTTACTGATCAGCAGACCCTTCTTGATATGGCTACAAGTTTCTATAGGAAGTTATATGAGGTGACACTGGCTCGACATCTCCTACATATCTGCCTGTTGGTTTTCCTGCTCTATCTTTAAGGAATGAAGCTATTCTTAAGGCACCTTTTACAGTGGAGTAAGTCAAGAAGGATAATATAGGAAATCATATTATTCTCCCCTCATTCCCATTTTTCTATATACTAGTTATTTTATGATGTGCGTTGCTTGTTGCTCGTTATATACTCATTTAATTTTTTATTTATATAATGTTTTTATAAATATAATAAACATGTTTTAAAATGTAATATCTAATTGAAAAGAAAATAATAGTTTTGCTCCTCTCATTAATAAAAAAACATAATTTTATTATTAATTAATTAGTATAAAATAATTAAAATTTTACATTTAACATATGGCAAAGTATTTTATAATTTGGCAATACTATGACATTAATCTAATAAATCAAAACTTGCTCTATGTAGCCGCAATATAAAATATAAATTTGATCTTCACATCAATTACTTTTATTAGATGAAGTTAAGCTGAAATTTTGTTAATAATATGTAATATTTTGGACTCCATGTCTTTTAAACAAAATCTAAAAGTAAATTGCTTAATGTTCTCAGCTCTATATAGGAATAAATATGCAAACAACAATATGGATAATGTAAAATCCTTTCTCAAATTTATAGATAGATATAAATGAGATTAAATTCAAATTTTTCAAAGTCTGATTTATTTATTTAAAAAAATAAAATCTCAAAAGTCTAATTATCTTTTTATATATTTTAAAAATTATTTTAAAAAAATACATCCAATTAAATTATAAAAAATTAAATAAAATTTGGTAAATTTCAAAAAAGTAAAACAAAATATTAAATACAAAGAGAGCTCTTGAACTTTCTCTTTATTTCATTTTTAATATAGAATAGCTAAAAAATAAAAATGGCAGTAAATATGCTTAAATAGTCATTTTTCATTTATTCAATTTTTTATAGCATACGTTTTCTAAAAAGATTTTATTAGACTAAAAAAGAAAAATTTTTGTATTTAATATATTAGTCAAATACTATAATTCCATACTTCTATTATTTTTGTTAAATTATAATTATAAAAAGTTTTAAAATACAGTAATGTGTAAATGATTCAAATAAGTGTAAATTAAAGAAAAAGAATATATTTTAAAAAAATTTATTTTAGTTTCATTATATTTATCTAATACACTCTAATAGAAAATTATTTAACCATATTTTAAAAAATTCAGAACATAATAAATTAGAAGAATTTAAGTTTTATTTTGAATACTTAAATTAAGATTTTCGATTTACCTTTTAGTTTTCATTATATTTATTCTATACACTCTAATAGAAAAATTATTTAACCATATTTTCTAAAAAATTACAGCACATAATAAATTAGGAAGAATTTAGTTTTATTGAATACTTAAAATTAAAGATTTCGATTTACTTCCTTTAAAAGGAGGTTAATAATTAAGAAGTCGGGAACGTATAATAAGACGTTCAAATCTATTAATATGGAAAATCATTAGGCAATAATTTGCTAGATCAAATAAAAAATAAAATATTAACCATATTTTAAAAAATTCAGAACATAATAAATTAGAAGAATTTAAGTTTTATTTTGAATACTTAAATTAAGATTTTCGATTTACCTCCTAAAAAGTAGTATAATTAAGAACGTGGGAACGTATAATTAAGAACGTCAAAATCTATTAATTATGAAAATCATTAGGCAATAATACTGCTAGATCAAATAAAAAATATAAATATACATATTTATCGAATTAAAATGCAGAAAAAAATATAATTAAAAGGATAAATGTAATATATTTTTTCAATTTAAAAGGCATAAAAAAATTAATTAATGATTTTTAAAAGGATAAATGAACATATTTTCTCCAATTAGAATGCATTAAAAATCTAACTAAAAGGATATTTTAGGATTTCTAAAATTTCACTAAAGTTATTATAGATAATCTCATTATTCCCCCTCTTATTCTCACTTATATATAATAAAAATTATTAAAAAATATAGAAAATTTCTGAAAAAAGGGAAAGGAAATGCTTGAAGGAAAATATGCCAAGTCAACTTTTTAAATTTTTTTCTTTAGGATTATATATATATATATATAGATTAAAGTATTTCAAACTGCATAGTTTTAGAATAAAGTAGAAGTTTTTTTAATATTAAAATTTTAAAATATTGTACACAAGTTTCATATTTTTATATTAAAATAAATAATTAAAAATAAAAGATAAAAAAATAAAGTTCGGTATATGGATTAGAATATGAAATTTTTATTATGCTTCCACTCCATATTTTATTATCAAGATTTTAAAAAATACGTTTCATTTTAAAATGTTATTTCAAAATTCTATTCCAAATTGATTTGTAATTTCAATTTATTTTATTTCAAAATTCTACTCCAAATTGATTTGTCATTTCAATTTGAATGGGCATATTTCAAACCAATTTATATTTCAATTTTTTTCCGTTGATCCTTATTTTTGGATTGTCCTATTCACTGCATTTTTTGCTTCAAGAATCTGAAACTTTTTTTTATTTTTTCTATTTTTATTGGTACATGATTTTTTTTTATTATTACTTCTTATTTTTGGATCGTCCTATTCACTGTTTACTGAACCTGAAATCTCATTCTTTGGCTTACGGGTAGTATTACTACTTCGTCTTAACGTCTTATTGATTGTTTTATGTCTCTTATGAACTGATCTCTCTATTTGTTATTGGTTTTTGGATTAAATGACATAGCTTGTGTCTTTATATACAGATTTGTGCGTTTTGTGTGAATGTAATGTGATGGAATCTGGAATCAGAAGTATGTTTTCTTTTAGCTCCATTTTTCACATTTTAGACGCATCCCTTTGTGTGTTTTTGAAGGTAGTGAGTTTTTAGACTAAAAAGGTCAATTATGCGCAAAATTGAATATGGCCTCCAAATTCAGAGGGAAAATTGAGCTTTTTTTTCCTTTGGTTTTTTTCCAATTCAAATTAGGTAATTTGCCTTTTCAGTTCCATTTGGGGAACCCCTAATTACCACCGACATATTTTATTGAATGGCATTGATAACGCTCAGCGAGATTTAAAAAGCTCTAACTTCATCGTATTGCACCTCCTTCAATTAGACACAGTAGCAAAAAAATGCAGTCATCCCTTTCAAATTGGAACGTTCAAATCAACCATTTGAGTTTTAGATCAAACAGAAGCCTACTAAGATCAAGCTCTCTACCAAGAAAAGAACTCCGTTGTGTTATTCTCACTTCCTCTGCTAAATCCTTCTCAAAACTTCTACTCCCAAATAAACACTGGATCTCACCCCCTAGCCTCCTGTCGAGAGCAAAATCAACAATCCCAGTTCTTGATTGTGGCATATCATCAGACAATTTAAGCACAGGTAGTGATCGGAGTTTTAGGGAGTGGATTGGGGTGGTTGGTGAGGCGATATCTACGGCATTTCCTATATGGGTATCTTTGGGTTGTTTATTGGCGCTCATAAAACCCAACTCCTTCAATTGGGTCACACCGAAATGGACCATTCTTGGCATTTCCCTAACCATGCTTGGTATGGGTATGACACTTACGTTGGATGATCTTAGGTCCGCTTTCGCTATGCCTAAAGAGCTCTTCTCTGGTTTCGTGCTTCAGTACTCGGTGTGTTGTGTTCTTTTCTATGTGGGCGTGTAAACCTGCTTTCACCCTAAGCGATACCTTACGCTAATTTTGTCAAATAGCAGTGCCAAGTTGGAATTCTTTAATGCAGGTTTCCCTTCAAAATGAATAGGGAAGATTTTTCTGCCTTGTGAAACATGAAATGAAACAATTCAAAATTCTATTTTGTGTGGTAGTTTGAAATTCTGATTTGGGAATGATAAGTTGTTATAGTGTTTTGTAGCACCAACTCTTAATTCGCAGAATTAGAAGCTCATCTTTTTATTAGTATACAATTAGGGCATACTCAATATGCTCCAACTTGAAGAACATTATCAAAGTTCCTTAATGAGTGATGGTACTTTTAGTGTATTGATATTCTTCCTGTTCATTGGAGTTAAAGCAGATATGTTCGATTTTCATATTCTATTCTATTGAATACTAATAGTTAAACTGCTCATTTCTTTTAGGTCATGCCAATATCAGGATTTCTGGTGAGCAAGCTCTTGAATTTACCATCACATTATGCAGCTGGTCTAATTTTGGTATCTTGCTGCCCTGGTGGTATGTCCATTGCTCCATCTGTTAGACCTTACAGATATTGCATTTCTACATGTTCATCTTTCTAATGTAGTAGTTCTTAAATTCATTTACTGCAGGAACAGCAAGTAACATTGTAACTTACATTGCACGGTTTGAGACCTCTCAATTTTCTTGTAGTTTTAACCTTTTTTTTTATGCTCAGCCATAAGATTTACTCCTCTTTTCATCTCCCAGTGGAAATGTGGCCCTCTCTGTATTGATGACAGCAGCAAGCACTTTAGCAGCTGTGGTTGGTTACCGATACACTTATTCTCTTTTACTTGGCAAAAGTAGTAGTGGTAATCATGTTAGTGTGTCATGTTCATGTTATGTCAAGTTATACCCATAACACGATTAACATTAACATGAACATAACACAATAAATTTGTCGACACAACATGATAATACATTTAAGATTTGAAACACTTAATCACATTGAGAGAAAAATGGAAATATTACTTGAGTCTATCACCATAAAAGTCTTGAAGTTATGTTTAAAGAATAATTATATCCATTCATAACATTTTTCTTTCTATCTAAAAGAAAGTATAGTCTATTCTTTTTATAGAGGAGACTACACTTTTCTCATCCAATCAAAATTAATGTGGGATTTCGATCAATTCTCCATTAGGCATGTAATCGATGGGCTAATGAGTCAACCTGAGACTCAGTATGACATGACATAATAACATTATTTTCATGTCACAACTCGGTCGATAGATGACAACACGAATATGATAAACCTTAACCCAAACCTGTTAATTCCATGCTGGGCTAATGCTGGCTTGTTGTGTCATGTGTGTCTGATATTGCAACCCTAAGCAAAAGTTTAGCCTGCATTTACTTAAAGGGAATTACCTACTAAAATACTTATATGAAGCTTTTTAGAACAAAGTTTGGACAATAAGATTTTCAGATATTGCGAAATGTGTTCTGTTCAGCTTTCCTGTTTCCAGGCATGGTGTAGTTCAGAAGGAAGGGGTTTGAGTTGGCCCCTTGATTCTGTCAGTTGCCATGATAAAATATCCTTTTCATTTTCTTTTGCAGGTCATGACCCCATTTCTCACTGCCAAATTGGCAGGGCAATATGTGGCAGTAGATGCAGCTGGACTTCTAATGTCAACACTGCAGGTAACTTTTCCTCTGCTGGTATTGCTTTGATGATATTAATATTAGTAGCAATTTGGTAATTTGCTATTTTTTGAATGCAGGTTGTGCTTCTACCTGTTTTGGCTGGTGCATTACTAAATCAATACTTCCAGGGTCTGGTTAAATTTGTGTCACCTCTGATGCCACCCATTGCTGTGGGAACTGTTGCTATTCTATGTGGAAATGCAATTGCGCAGAGTGCTTCGACAATCCTCATGTCTGGACAACAAGTGGTGCTTGCTGCATCTCTACTTCATGCATTTGGCTTTTTCTTTGGATATGTACTTTCAAGGATGCTTGGGCTTGATGTGGCATCATCACGGACCATCTCTATTGAGGTTGGGATGCAGGTACATTATCATTGTAGCTCGATTCCTAAGGGAAGATTTTCTTTTGTTAAGTCATTGACTTTCTGCAAGTTTCTATATAATGTAAGTAGGACTCCAATAGCATAGATTTTGTACTTAAAGCAAGTTTGAGGCGTTGATGTTGTGATGGTATGCTATGAATAGTCTTTTGGCAACTTTATGATGCAACCCTAGAGGAAAATCCCCTTCCCTTCTATTTATTAATGTTTTTCTCATAGTTCTCATCATTCTCATCATTTTAACTTCTGTTTATGTTTCAGAACTCGGTGCTTGGAGTTGTTCTTGCAACTCAGCACTTCGGAAATCCTCTGACTGCAGTACCATGTGCCGTTTCCAGTGTATGTCACTCAGTCTTCGGTAGTGTCCTGGCTGGATTTTGGAGACAATCCTCTAACCCAATTAAGGATTGATGTCATTTATAAACTTCATATGAATTATTTCTTTGCTTGACATACAACATATAGTTTTAGCAAGTGCATCATAGATTGTTAGTGCTTTGCTTTTAGTAATGCATTTATGTATTGGATGATAATATTTTGCCAAGATGTACTGAAAAAACTGTCTGCTATGAAGAAATCCCATGCAGCCTTTTCATTGCTACAAGTTACTGATGCCTATCTATAAACTATATAATTAACATACTATATGCTTTGTTTGATTTTGCATTTGTTGATCTGGCAGTGTAGCTGTATATGAGTCTGAGAATGAATTACGTGCAGTGCTAATTTAAAATAACTAAGCTTGATTTTGAAGATTAAAATTGTCAAATGAAATTTTTCTGCTGATTTTAAGTTGTTTTTATTATGTTTTCCCTTGCTTTTTAGTGTCTAATTAAGTGTTTCAGCTCATAATAAATTTTTAAAATTAGGTTCTTTTGGCTTTTCACTTCATTTATTTTTGTAGATTATCACATGTTTCTCTTTATTAGGAATTAGTGAGATTTTTAAGAACATAAAGGTTTTAAAACATAACAAATAAAGATGAATGAAACGATTGTTTACATGTAGTATCATTTATATATTGTAATTTTTTAATAAAAAATTTCTGTTAAAATGTACTTAACTGCCATAAAAAAAAAAAAAAAAGAACTGTTGAATTAGATAATTGATAAAAAAAAAAAGTAAAATAAAATAGAAAATTAGTAAAATTGAGGCATTAATATATAATTATCCCTAAGTTATTTGGTGGCGTTATTGCTAGAGCTTTATTTGTTAAAGGTAGAGCAATGAGTTTCTTCGCTTGATCTGTTCTTTCTCACAACGCAATCTCAGTAACCACTCTAATAATGCATCTCTGCTATTGAAATTCTTGCCAACACCATTGAGGAAATTCTTGCTATGAAATTGTTGCCAAGGGTGTGTTGGCAACCTTCGCCCTCAATTCTTAAAATTCAATAAAGAGTTTTAAACTTTCAATAAACCAGACTGAGATAAGTTCCGTTCCTTTTCATAAGAACATAATTCGAAATAAACCCAAAGCCTTTTTCTTTCTTGCTTCAATGGCTTTCTCCATTCATTACATTAAGATCTCGTTTAAATCGTCTAAATTAGTTTTTTTGCAACATGGGTTCTCTTTATAATTGCCTAATTTTTGCTGTTGTCATAAAATAATACCCCCTCTGTTTCAAAATATAAGTCGTTTTTCATTTGCTATTTTGTCTCAAAATATAAGGCATTTTGTGTATTTCAAGAAGTAATAAATGATGTTTTTCCAATGTTGCTCTTGTTTACACTAAATACAATAAATATTTCATAAGCAACTATTGGTTTTGAGATAAAGGATAATTTGGTCAAATTACCCTTGAATTTGTTATAATCTAGGAGAGTTAATTGCTTTCTTACTCTTTGTGCAAAAACTTTAAACCATTTATATTTTGGGACGAAGGGAGTAATAAAAAGAAAATCTCAAAATTTATTCAGGGATGTGAGCTAGGTAATCTTATTGGCATATAGGGTCTGTTCTAAAAAATTAGCTATTTTGATGACTGTAATTGTTTCAGTAGCGTGTAATTGTTAGCTGTTTGAGTAACTATTTATAAAACGCTAAAAGTTAAATGTTATATGAGTTAACTATTTATAAAACACTACCTTAACCTTTAAAATTCAATTCAAAAAGCTATTTAAAACAATGTTCCGGAACACAGCCATAGAAGATTAAAATCTTTGTCTAACAAGCTACTGTAGTTGCAGATACATGAATGATTAAAAAAAATTTTTCATCATTATTTGTATGCTTTTCTCTCATTTCTCTTTTTGTAAGTAAAATGGATGAGAATAGTAGAGAGATATATAATACACAAAATTCTTTTGTATATATAAGGTGACCTATGTATTTCGATGCGTCGTTCTTTATTATTGGTTAGTGGAAGAATTCGAATTTGCGTTAGAACTTTCTCCCTTGTCAATAGCCTACTTGAGGACTTGAGGACTTTCAGTTTTCCTTATGTCGCAGCAACCAGTAGCCGACTTAAGGATTTTCAGTTTCTTCAGTCGAGAGCTGCTCCTGAAAGAGTGTTTGCCGAAAAGGAGAATCAGTTAAGAGCAAGATCAGTAAATCCCAAAGTTTGGCTTCATCGGCCAAAGAAGGAGCCTTAAACGAATGCTAGCAACCCCTCTAGATAGTGCATTCACTTTGAGAAGAGAATCATTGGTTTAACCGATGAACTACGTGGGAAAATGGATCTTTAAGAAAGCGGTGGGCCTAGTGAGCTCTCCAATCGCACATCGAAACAAAAACACAGAAAGAATTGGTCTTGTGGTCGGCCTTATACAGTTCTATAAGCAAAGCCCCCTTCCCTTATTAAATGAAGTAGAAATTCTAGGCTCCCCCTTTGAATTTCCAATTCCTCCTTTTCATTCTACTAAGGTAGAGCAATCCGAACTCTCGACAGAATATAAAAGAGGTTTTTATCCCTGTGTAGACACCTCAATGAACTCATGTGGACGTATCTCCCTCTTTCCTGTCCCCCTTAGGTCTTCTGAAGAATCTCATTCCCTAGTCTTTCATTTGCCTTGGGGACAGGCGTGGGATCGAGTATTAGTTAGCGATCCCAGCTCAGTGAGTCTTTTCTTCCATGATGAATTGTTGGCACCAGTCCTACATCCTACTTTTTATTTTGTCTCTATGGACCGAGGAGAAAGGGGCTCAGCGAGAAAAGGACTGTACCATGAGAGAAGCAAGGAGCTCAACCTCTTTCAAATATACAATATGGATTCTGGCAATGCAATGTAGTTGGACTCTCCTGTCGATCCGAATGAATCATCCTTTCCACGGAGGTAAATCTTTGCTTACTAGGCAAGAGGATAGCAAGTTACAAATTCTGTTATGAAACCATGTGCACAGAGAAAAGAGATAAGGCAGTCCCATCAGCAGTTAATATAGAAGAAGAAGGGCGAAGAATTATAGTTCTAGTTCCGCTTCTGCCTAATCTTTAGTAAGCACTTAATAAATACAATTCGAGTGTACCATCTTCTTTCTCATTTCGAGGAAAAGGAAACAACGGAGAGATTCGAATCAGACCTAAATGGGAATGTCATGAACAGTCTTTTTCAAAATCTAGCATTAAGGGCGTTACTACGATATACGAGAGCAATGAAGAAAAACTCATGATTGGTGTAGAGGGGAAGATCTGTTTATGATATAGTTCAAGAAAGAGTCGTCTCATTTCCTTACTTCTTTGTTCTTTCTAATTCATTCACTTCAAGGCTAGTTCTGAATGCTGCATAACATCATCTTCAACCAATTGGAAGTTAAGCTAGTTGGAGAGACATTACTTAGCCTTTGTCCGCATAATGGTTGTCCCACCATCGGAAGTAGAGGAAGCTAGAAGATGACCAATCCCACCTCATCCTGATTCGGGGCGACTCAGATGGCATATGATTAACTAGTGCAGGAGAGAGAGTTATCCCGTCCCTCAGATCACTTCAACATTTCTAGTCAAAATAGATGCTATGCTGGGCATATCTATTGACCCGATGAAGCTGGTGTAATTCTCAAAGGAATAGAATTGGACAGTGAATCCAATAATGGTATCTCATGCGCCTATTATTTATTGATAGGTGATAGTGATTTTACCGATGCTAAAGGTAGCTTGTTGCGGAAGTATCTACTCGTTATGAAATCTCAGGTGTCAAAGTGTGGATTTCATATAGTAAAAAAAAAGGGGGGGGGGACATGCTATATCTGAAATGTACGAAATATAGTAAATATCGTGAAGGTAGATGTAGTAAGGGTTGCAAACTGGATGGTACACAACTTGGTTTTGGAAGATATGATGTATTTCTCAAAGGAATAGAATTGGACAGTGAATCAATATGGAATTATTCTCTCAAAATAGATGCTATGCTGGGCATATCTATTGACCCGATGAAGCTGGTGTAATTCTCAAAGGAATAGAATTGGACAGTGAATCCAATAATGGTATCTCATGCGCCTATTATTTATTGATAGGTGATAGTGATTTTACCGATGCTAAAGGTAGCTTGTTGCGGAAGTATCTACTCGTTATGAAATCTCAGGTGTCAAAGTGTGGATTTCATATAGTAAAAAAAAAGGGGGGGGGGACATGCTATATCTGAAATGTACGAAATATAGTAAATATCGTGAAGGTAGATGTAGTAAGGGTTGCAAACTGGATGGTACACAACTTGGTTTTGGAAGATATGCACTAAAAGTTGTAAAGTTGGTCATCTTTCATATCGAGCCGTTGAAGCAGCCGCGTCAGGCTATAAGCGGACAATTCCGAAGAAATGGTAAGATATGGGTAAGAGTTCTCGTAGATCTCCCTATTACCGGATCATCCTAAGGACAGATCATATCATCAAAAGTACCCTGAGTTACCTTCTTAACTAGTGAAATACACTTAGCCAAGGAACAAAAGGTCAATCTAAACCGCCCAACCGTCTTTCTTCTATATCATTATTCAATGCAAAGAAGATCCGAGGATAGACAGACAGTTTTCTCAAAACTGGCTACTCTGATATACCACCTCAACCCCCGATCTAAGAGCATCTGAGAACATCTTCGACATTATCGAGGGAAACTTAGATAACTGGAATGATTGCCCTTCACGCCTATCCCATCGATCAGAATTGGCAACAAATCTTTCAGCGGATCAATATCAACCGTGTTCAGCTCTTGCTACTAGGTCAACTCCCAAATCCCCCAGGTGAGGGGTGAACCTTTTAAAGATAGCTTGGTTCAACTTACATGCAGGCAAGGCAAGTAAATGATTGATATCCAAATCGGTGGACTGCTCGGTCGCACACGCTTCCCTAGGAGGAGGAAAGGAGGATATAATTAGTGTGCTACCTTCTCCCCGAGGTATGGTTTGAGTCCTGGTACTAAACTCCAAAAGGGATAAGTTCTTCATCATACTTTCGCTAAACAGAAGCTCTTTACTGCTAAGCTGATCACATTCAAGAACATTAAGAAGACGACTCTATCCAGCTGTAAGCTGGAAGTGACCTTGGGAGAAGGAGGAGCATCGAGGCTCTGGTTTCTAGTTGTTTCTTATGCCGAAAAGAGCTCTTTCATTGAGAAGTTGGTCCTGGAGCTGAAAGAATTTCTTTAGTTGACCCCGTATAAAAGCTAAGCCAGTCGCAGAATCGTCTGCTCTCTTATGAAACAAGGAAAAAATCCGTTG